CTATGTCCAAAGATCTTCAAAGATCTTTGCTAAAAAATTTTCTGATAATGCAATAATACATTCAAGAGATATTGTTTCTTTCTCAATATATATCTTCAATATACAATAACAAATAAAGAAATAATGTTAACCTATTGGAGAAAACCCCCCAAAAGCAATATAATAATAAAAAACTTTAATAATGAAAAAAAAATTTATATATAATTTTTTTTAAATTAAATACAAACTTGTTTTTTAATATTGATACATTCTTTATTATTTTCTATTTTATTATAAAAACTTTAAAAATAAAATAGGTATTTATACATTGAAATAAATTTGAACTTTTAAAAAAAATTATATAAGAAAAACCTAAACGTTATAAGTGTAAAATAATTTTTATAAATGTTATAAAGTCTTGTAAAAATTACATATATTATATTAACCCATGGATAGTATATATTTTTATAATATATACTGTATAATATTATTATGATTAAATTAAGTTAATTAAATTAAAATTTTGAAACTATACTTTTAGACATTAATTTATTCTTACTTCAATTATTGAATATGGATATTCAAAATAATGCCTAGGCAATCATTATTTAATGCTTATACAGTAACAATCATTTCTTTATAAATCTTGAAATTCTTTTCAATAATAAATTTTCTAATATCCTGTAATAAAAAAAATAAATAATCAACAATACGATATAACGAATGTTTTTTATGAAAATTTTAAAAACATATAACAATCAATAGTTAATCATAGTTAATTATATTAGCATTAGTTAGAATTTAAGTTTTTAAATTATTTTTTGCCTTTTAATACTTTAGTAAATAAATATTATAACTTCTGAGAATATTAAAAATTCAAAAATCATGAACTAAAAACACATATATTATAATCGAAGTAATGATTATAGATGTTTTCAAAATAATTATAATATAAATTATAGCAACTGATTTTATTAAATTTCTAAAGTGGATACATATTTAAGAATAATAAAAGTTAAAGTAATAATGAAGACGAAAATCAATTGTTTAATTGAATTATTTTGTAATTGTTTGTTTGCTTAATTGCATAATATGATACGCTTATAAAACATCAAATAAATATCATTCAAAAATGTTTATTAAATTAGGGACCAAATTATCTAACCCTAATTCAATTTAAGATTATTTAGCGCGGATCCGACAACTATGATAATAAATGTTGGTTAATAGTTCATCTTTCCGATAGATAATACACACTGCTAATTAAAACAGGTTTGTACCTTCCAAGGACGATCTCAAATTACTTAAGGGTCTACTTATATAATGTGCTTCGGGATGTGTAAAGTAGTTATCTTGCATTTCTTTTGAATCGAATAAACGTTTTCGACATATCTCGGAAGATATAAAATCATCCATATCTTCTCTATCCCAAAACCATCTATCAAATTGCTGTTTAATATCCCTCATACTAGGTCTTTCAACCGGATTGTGACTCCAGCATCTTTTCATCAAATTACAAAAGGCAGGTGGCGTATCTTTAGTAATTTCGGGTCTTGAACCATTAATTATTTCTAGTACAAGGTGAATATCGTGATTTCTATTTTCAAATGGTCTACGTCCTGAGGTAAATTCCCACATTAATATTCCAAAGCTATATACATCAGACGCTTGCGTACATGGATGTCCATTTAAGACTTCAGGTGCCATGTAGGGAAACACTCCGTTAATTTTCATTGATTTGTTCGTAGTAAGTGTTTCTCTACATAAACCTAGGTCAGCAATTCGAATAGATCCCAAAATTCCATTTACTCCTAATAAGATATTTCCGGAATGAATATCGCAATGAATTAACCCATTCATATGAATTTGATCAAATCTGTACAAAATAAAAGGCTTTAATATAATTGTATAAATAATAATACTGTATACAATCAATAGACCCTATTAAAATACCCTGTTGAAATATAGTATAATTTTTCGATCTTATCTTGCCAGGTAGATGATTTATAGTTTTCTGATAAATATTTATGTAAGCTTCCATCTTCAGCATATTCAAGTACTATAATGTATTCGGCCGTCACTGGATCTTTTGTAACTCCGAAACATTTAATTACAAAACCTTCCTTATTTACAATTCTGTGAAATAACAACTAAAATATACATGCAAAAAATGTTAGAATTAGTATATATAGATTCAAAAATATGTGATATTTTTTAATAAACCCAACTTCGTTCCAGAACTCTTCAGTAATGTTCCGAGATTTATACAATATTTTTAGAGCCACATTAACATTTATTCCAGACTCATCGACAAGGACGGCTTTCTCTATTGTTCCAAATCCCCCTTTGGCCAAATATTTCCTATTGGAAAGATTATAATAAGATATCCATTTTATTATACCTCCTGATTCGATAATTGATGAATCATATGTTTTGATAGAATCTTTTGGTTCTGGTAGATCATTAAAGTTAAGAAGTCGGCTGGTGTATATTGCAAATGGATTTTTCTCACATGCCCTTCTAGCCAATAAGGTCGATATATTTTTATCTTTCATAACCTTTTTAGTAATATTGGACTTTGGAAATACTTTAAAATTATTAAAATGCCATTGGAGTAAAGTACTACATAGTTCCTCTGCACTTATCCGATTCTGTGGTTCAGTATCCCAACATTTATGCATTAGATCGACTATTAAATCAGGAATGTCAATCTGAATTTTAGGTCGTAATCCATTGCAAATTTGAATTGCGAGGTTGTTATTGTTGTGGGAACAATCGGGATAGGAACACGATATTGTGACGCGTCGCGCAACAATAAGTATTGGTGATGGTGGAA